ACACTAGCTAGAACGTTTTCTTTTTTTTTTTTTTTTTTTTTTGAGACGGAGTTCTTGCTCTTGTCACCCAAGCTGCGAGTTGCAGTGGGCCGAGTATCTCAGCTGCACCTGGCAAGCTCCACCTCCCTGGGTTCACGCATGGCGCTATCTTGGCTCACCACAACCTCCGCCTCTTGGGTTCAAGTGATTCTCCTGCCTCAGCCTCCCGGTAGCTGGGATTACAGGCATGCGCCACCACGCCCGGCCAATTTTGTATTTTTAGTAGAGACGGGGTTTCTCCATGTCGGTCAGGTTGGTCTTGACCTCAAGTGATCTGCCTGCCTTGGCATCCCAAAGTGCTGGGATTACAGGCGTGAGTCCCTGCGCCTGGCCTTTTTTTTTTTTTTTTAAGAGATGCGCTCTCACTCTGTTGCCCAGGCTGGAGTGCAGTGGCTGGATCCAGAGCTCACTGTAGCACTGACCACTGGGCTCAAGAGATCCTCCCACCCTCAGCCTCTGGAACAGCTAGGACTACAGGCATGCCTAATTTTTTTTAATTTTTTTTTTTTTTTTTTGAGACAGAGTCCTTGCTCTGTCACCCAGGCTGGAGTGCAGTGGTACAATCTCAGCTCACTACAACCTCTGCCTCCTGGGTTCAAGCCATTCTCCTGCCTCAGCCTCCAAGTAGCTGAGACTACAGGTACCCGCCACCACCCTGAGCTAATTTTTTGTACTTTGAGTAGAGACAGGGTTTTACCACGTTGGCCAGACTGGTCTGGAACTCTTGACTCCAGGTGATCTGCCTACCTTGGCCTCCCAAAGTGCTGGGATTATAGGCATGAGCCACCATGCCCAGCCGCCTACCTAATTTTTAATGTTTTTTTTTAGAGACAGGGTCTCACTATGTTGTCTAGGCTGGTCTCGAACTCCTAGCCTCAAGTGATTCTCCCACCCTGACCTCCAAAAGAACTGAGATAACAGATGTGGGCCACCACACCCAGCCTATGTTATCTTTAGATCTATCTTGCAGGCAATATGCAAACTAAAGATTTGGATACATCCCTCACCATCAGTGAACCAAGGCCCTACTCAAGCCAGCACCTTGCCCAGGCCTAAGAAATAAGGAAGACATCTTGGTAGCACTACAACAAAAACAAGGAAACCAGATTCTAACATTTCCAAATAGGAATCTTTAGAAAAAACTGGATTTATTTTTTTTCTTTTTCTTTCTTTAGGATGCCATCTTGCTCTGTTGCCCAGGCTGGAGTGCAGTAGCACAATTTCAGCTCACTGCAACTTCTGCCTCCCAGGTTCAAGTGATCCTCCTGCCTTAGCCTCCCAAGTAGCTGGAACTATAGGCGCATGCCGCCATGCCTGACTCATTTTTTTAATTTTTTTTTTTTTTTGAGACGGAGTTTCACTCTTGTTGCCTAGGCTGGAGTGCAATGGCACAATCTTGGCTCAATGCAACCTCTGCCTCTTGGGTTCAGATGATTCTCCTGCCTCAGCCTCCCGAGTAGCTGGCATGCACCACTACGCCTGGCTAATTTTGTGTAGAGATGGGGTTTTTCTCCATGTTGATCAGGCTAGTCTCAAACTCCCAACCTCAGGTGATCTGCCGGCCTCGGCCTCCCAAAGTGCTGGGATTACAGGCGTGGGCTACCATGCCGTCAGTTTTTTGTATTTTTAGTAGAGACGGGGTTTCACCAGGCTGGTCTCAAACTCCTGACCTAAGTGATCCACCCACTTCAGCCTCCCAAAGTAAAGTGCTGGGATTACAGGCATGAGCCACTACACACCCAGCCTGGATTTATATTTCTGTCTTGCCATTTCTCACTAAATTTGAACAAGTGAATGAGAGACAGAGAGAGAGAGATCTCGTTCATTGGTTTCAAATATATATATATACACACACACACACATATACACACACACACACACATATATATTTTTTTTTTGAGACGGAATTTTGCTCTTGTTGCCCAGGCTGGAGTGCAATGGCGTGATCTCAGCTCACTGCAGCCTCCATCTCCCAGGTTCAAGCAATTCTCCTGCCTCAGCCTCCCGAGTAGCTGGGATTACAGGCGCACACCACTACACCCGGATAATCTGTGTATGTTTAATAGAGATGGGGTTTTGCCGTGTTGGCCAGGCTGATCTTGAACTCCTAACCTCAGGTGATGCGCCTGCCTTGGCCTCCCAAAGTGCTGGGATTACAGGCGTGAGCCACCACGCCTGGCCATATAAATATATATAAAATACAAATATATATAAATTTATCCCTTAATAGTTCTATAACCTTCTGCTCAAAGCGATCTATGGTCCTAATTCATTTACATACATGTCTTTATTCCAATATATCCCATTTGCAACAATCTTATCTTTCTACTTTTGTGTAAAGGTACAGACTTATCATATGTCTGCCAAAAGTCACTGGGTCTCATAGCCCAGGCCTCAAATCCATCCACAGAGTAATCACATCTTAGAGGATAGACACTCACCATCACTGTGATGATGAACATTTCATTCTTTTGAAAGTAACTTTTAAATTTGGCCTGAATCAATTCTGTTGCCTGCTATTACCTATGAACACATGATGGTAAAATATGAAGGAGGGTGTAGAAATATCTCAACACCCTGGAAGCACAGGCTCTGGAATCCTGCCTTGACCACTCACTACCTCTAGGCACAACACTTAATCCCCCTGTGCTTCTATTTCTTCATCTATAACACGGGAATGATGACAGTTCCTTCCTCAAAAGATTGCTGTGAAAATTAACTATGTACAAAAGGTTCAGCACACTTTCCCTCAGTTTCTTAGAATAATCAGTTGTTATTTGTCTACTACTTCAAAACACTAACAATTGTAAGAATTCCCATTCTAGGCCGGATGTGGTGGCTCACACCTGTAATCCCAGCACTTTGGGAGGCCAAAGCAGGCGGATCACTTGAGGTCAGGAGTTCGATACTAGCATGGCCAACATAGTGAAACCCTGTCTCTACTCAAAATACGAAAATTGGCTGGGCGTGGTGGCGTGCGCCTGTAATCCCAGCTACTGGGGTGGCTAAGGCACGAGAATCTCTTCAACCCGGGAGGCGGATGTTGCAGTGAGCCGAGATTGCGCCACTGCACTTTGACCTGGGCAACAGAATGAGACTCTGTCTCAAAAAAAAGGAATTCCCATGCCATAATACTTTTTTATCTTTTCTGGAGATAAGAGAGGGTCTTGCTGTGTCGCCAAGGCTAGAAGCTAGAATGTAGTGGATGCCATCATGGCTCACTGCAGTCTCGACTTCCTGGGCTCAAGCAATCTTCCCACCTCAGAGCTGGGACTACGACAAGCACACACCACCACATCCAGCTAATTTTTTTAGTTTCTGTAGAGATGAGGTCTCACTATGTTGCCCAGGCTGATCTCAAACACCTGGTCTCAAGTGATCTTCCTGCCTCAGCCTCCCAAAGTGCTGGAATTACAGGTGTGAGCCACCATGCCCAGCTATCTTTAACATTTTTAATCTATTTTATGGTGTTCATCATCAGATAAAAATCTCACCAAAGTCATATATATCACCCTTAAACTATTAATCCCTTGGGAGGGGAAAACTACACATGTGCAAACAAGCGCACACGGGCACATACACAGATCTCTGACTGTGGACATGATCAATATAGTACCACTAGCCACACTAGCCAAATGATTTAAATTTTAATTAATAAAATTTAAATTAACTGCCTTAGTCATAGTAGCCACATTTTAGCCACTCAGTATGGCCAGTGGCCACCATATTGAAAAGCACAGACACAGAATTACAGACAGTTCCATCAGACAACACTGTTCTAGACTGCCAAGTTTTAAGCTTCAGTCTTACCAAATCCAAAAGGCAGGAAAAAACATGTTGATGGAAGTAAACGAAGGAAGAGGAGTCTACGAAAAAGGGAGATGAAACCAAAGAGGGACCCTAGACAAAGACCTCAGCCATAGGCAGAATGATGCCCCAACACATGACCCATGGACCCAGTAGACACTCCTGAAGGAGGGGCAACGAGGATACTGTAGAGCTTTCGGTCCTTGGACTCAGAGCGCATGCGGCTCAGCTGCTGCTTGTGACAGCGCAGGCTCCAGGGGTTATGGCTGATCTTCTCAGAACTCAAGCCACTGTTGCCATCTAGCATCTGGAAAGGGACCTCTGAGTGGCTGTGCAGCTCCACCTTCGGACTCTTTGCCTCCTGTGAGCTAAGAAGGAAGAACATACACATCACTAAGAAACTCAGGCAAGTCATCCTCTGGGGTCTCACTGCACAGGACACAGGTCTGTCTACAACAACAGACCCACAGACCCTGCTAATGGGTTGCATGAAGGTCCCATGAGCCAATAAAAATGAGTAAATGTTACAAGTAGTGTTCTTCCTATGTCTCTTAAAACTATCTGTAAAATAACGTTTTTGTCAAATTATGTGATGAAAATACCACTTCGCATCCATTAGGATGGCTACTATCAAAGAAGAAAGTGGAACAAGTGTCCAGTATGTGAAGAAACTAGAACTCTCATACACTGCTGGTAGGAATGTAAAATGATGCAGCCACCAAAAAGTTTGGTGGTTTCTCAAAAAGTTAAACACAGATTATAACTCAGCAATTCCATTCCTAGGTATACACCCAAAAGAAATGACAAGGATCCAAACAGACACTTTACATCAACATTCACAGCAGCACTACTCACAATAAACAAAAGGTAGAAACAACCAAGCATCCATCAACAGATGGATAAGCAGAATGTGGGATATACATACAATGGAATATTATTCAGCAATAAAAAGGAATTAAATTCCTATACATGCTACAACATATATGAACTTGAAAACATTTTGCTAAGTGAAATAAGCCAGACACAAAAGGATAAATATTGCGTGATTCTACTCATGTGAAGTAACTGCAAATCCATTAAGACAGAAACTAGAAAAGTGGTTGCCACAGGCTGAGGGAAGGAGGAATGGGGAGTTAGTTGCACAACAATGTGAATGTACGTAATGCTACCGAACTGCACCCAGCCGAGGAAGGAAATTTTATTTCTAAAATAAGTCAAGGCCAGGCACCATGAGTCACAACTGTAATCCCAACACTTTGGGAGGCCAAGGTGGGAGGATCACTTGAGCCTAGGTGTTCAAGACCAGCCTGGACAACATGTCAAAACTCCATCTCTACAAAAAATTTAAAAATTAGCTGGGCATGGTGGCTTGTGCCTGTAGTTCCAGCCAGCTAGCCACTTGGGAGGCTAAGGTGGGAGGATCACCTGAGCCCAGGGGGCTGAGGATGCACTGAGCCGTGATCATGCTACTACACTCCAGCCTGGGCAACAGAGACAGACTATGTCTCAAAAATAAATAAATAAAATAAATCAAACCACAAAGGAGTTTTTGTGAGAAAGCAACTTCAACTGAAAATACTGGAACTTTGCCAACAATTTCATTATGCCCCAACGTAAAAATCTTTGCTTGAAGTAACCAACAACACTGTTTATCATACTGAAAGGCCAAGAAAACCACACTACTGGTGAAGCCATGTGCCCTGCAAATTACAGAGCAAGCCTGCAGCTCACAGCAGAGGTGGAACATTACAGTAATTTCTTTTTTTTCTTTTTGAGACAGCATCTCGCTGTGACGCCCATCAACTTCAAATGCCACTCTCCTCTCCAGAACTGCAGGCCTCTCCTCTAACTGTGTGGCATGAGTTGCACAGATTCAAGCTAACACCAGGGCTGGTGTGTGCTGGAAATGATGACCCTCCCTGGCAAGGGTCAGCTGTGCAACACTGGTGAAGAGGTAGTGGCAGAGAGCCCACTTCCACCTAACTGAAAGTAGAGGAGGCCGGGCGCAGTGGCTCAAGCCTGTAATCTCAGCACTTTGGGAGGCCGAGACGGGCGGATCACGAGGTCAGGAGATCGTCGAGTCGAACCACACTGCCCTGCCTAGCGACGGAACACGCCCGTCTCCGTACTACAAACTGGACACGAATAAAATTACCGGGCGGGTGGCGGGGCTGCTGATCGCCACAGCTATTGGAGGCTGAGGCAGGAAATGGCGTGAACCCGGGAGGCGGAGCTTCTCAGTGACGCTGAGATGCACCACTGTCACTCCAGCCCCGGGCCGACGAGAGGGAGACTGCCGGTCTCAAAAAAAAAAAAAAAAAAAAAAAACAAAAGAAGTAGCGGAGCCCACCAATGCCTCTCAGAATGATAAAACCCTTACTTTCTTCTGGTGAGAGCACTGTTGAGGCCATTCAAACATGTCTTTTCTGTGAAACCCTTTAGGAAACAGAAAGGTGGACTTATTTGCCATGTAAACCCAAGGAAGTTCTCTGCGTCTGGATGAAGCCCCCACGATACTTGGTATCACCCTCAGTGTTGCAGCCCTGCTTCTGTGAAGAAAAAAGCCCCACCCCTGGAATGACAGTCTCTCTGCTAACAGGCCAGACAGTGGTTTGGTCAGTACAGGTAGAGCTGTCACCTTCAGAGCAGGACCTTGAACCTGGACATAGGCAGACAGTGATGTTATTCTAGGTGATGTTATTCTATAGCTTTTCACCAAATGACTCATGAAGCAACCTCTGTACCTTTGGAGGACAATAAAAAAAGCCCACTCTAGGCTGGGCGCAGTGGCTCACACCTATAATCCTCACACTTTGGGAGGCCAAGGTGGGAGGATTGCTTGAAGCCAGGAGTTTGAGACCATCCCGGGCAACAAAGTGAGACCCTATCTCTACAAAAATTTAAAAATTAGCTGAGTGCAGTGGTGTGCACCTGTAGTCCCAGTTACTTGGGAGGCTGAGGTGAAAGGATAGGATGGCTTGAGCCCAGTATTCAAGGCTGCAGTGAGTCACTGATGGTGCCACTGCACTCTAGTCTGGGTGACAGAGCAAGACCTTGTCTCTTTTAGAGTAGGGGGAAAAGTCACTCTGAGCGCTGCTCAGAGAGAACCATCAATTGTCAGCTACAGACTTGGGGGAAAATTCTTTGTCACTTGAATGACCAAGTTAGGTCCCAAAGACATTAGTCAAGAAGCAGCCTCTTGGGGAGTGACGGGGGAGCACTAGAAGAAGTGCTTCTGTGGGCTGGAAGCCATCTGACCAAAGAATGTTTGACATTTGAAGATCCTGCTTACTAAGAAGTGGATATGAAGCTCTCTACTTGCATGAAAGATGCAGACCTGGCCAAAGAGGATCTGCTGACTGAGGACACGGGAAATGACATATAACCCACTCAGCCAGTGTCTCATGGGGTTCTGTACTCCTTGACATGGGCGTATCCTTGTTCAACAAACTGAGTGAGAAGAACTGGAGTGTCCTGGGCCTTTACAAAGCTTCAGGGGCACAGGTATGTAGCATGTATTGGTGAACTGATCTGATATCACAGATGAACTATGTACTGTCACATCTAAGGAAATTCCCAATTTCAGCTTCTAAGTCAAGTCACAAAGCATCTTACTAAAACCTTTTTTTCTTGAGACAGAGTTTTTGCTCTTGTTGCCCAGGCTGGAGTGCAATGGTGTAATCTCAGCTCACTGCAACCTGGGTTCAACCCTCCTGGGTTCAAGTGGTTCAAGTGATTCTCCTGCCTCGGTCTCCCAAGTAGCTGGGATTACAGGCACATGCCACCACACCTGGCTAATTTTTTTGTATTTACTAGAGACGGGGTTTCACCATGTTGGTCAGGCTGGTCTCGAACTCCTGACCTCAGGTGATCCACCCGCCTCGGCCTCCCAAAGTGCTGGAATTACAGATGTGAGACACCATGCCTGGCTCATAATTCTGTTTTTTTTTTTTTATTTTTACAATTCTGTGGTTTTTTAGTGGATTCACAAGATTGTAAAACATCACCACCACCTAATTTTCAGAATATTTCATGACCCCAAAATCAAAACCATCATCATTAGCAGTCACTCCCTATTTCCCACTACTTCCAGCTCCTAACCACTAACAGAAAGCAACCACTAACCTACCTTTTCTCTCTATAGATTTGCCTGATGTGAACAATTTACATAAATGGCATTGTACATATGTGGTCTTTTGTGTCTGGTTTCTTTCATTTAACATAATGTTTTCATGATTCATCCATGTTGTAGCATGTACCAGCACTCCATTCCTTTTTAGGGCTGAGTAACATTCCATTACATGGATGTACCATGTATTGTTTATCCATTCACCAGTTGATGGACACTTGGGTTAGCCAGAAACTGGAAACAACCCTAATATAAATAATGTTAAGAACATTTTTGTACAAATTTTGTGGGAATATATGTATTCAACTCTTTTGGGTATATACCTAAAAGAAGAATTACTGGTTTAACTTTTGGGTTTTTTTTTTTTTTTTCTGAGACGGAGACTTGCTCTGTCACCCAGGCTGGAGTACAGTGGCGTGATCTCGGTTCACTGCAAGCTCCGCCTCCCAGGTTCAAGTCATTCTCCTGCCTTAGCTTCCTGAGTAGCTGGGACTACAGGTGCCTGCCACCATGCCTGGCTAATTTTTTTGTATTTTTAGTAGAGATGGGGTTTCACCGTGTTAGCCAGGATGGTCTCGATCTCCTGACCTCGTGATCTGCCCGCCTTGGCCTCCCAAAGTGCTGGGATTACAGGCGTGAGCCAGTGCGCCCAGCCTTTTTTTTTTTTTTTTTAAAGAGATGGGGTCTCACTATGTTGCCCAGGCTGGTCCGGAACTCCTGGCCTCAAAGGATCCTACCGCCTCAGACTCCTGAAGCATTAGGATTACAAGTGTGAGCCATAGCACTCAGCCTGGTTTAACTTTCTGAAGAACTGCTAAATTGTTTCCCAAGTGGCTGTACCACCTTACCTTCCTACCAGCAGTGTAGGAGGGTTCCAATTTCTTCACATCCTGTCAACACTTTTATTGTCTGTCCTTTTGATTATACCCATCCTAGTGGGAGTTCATATTAATTCTTGCATGAAATTATCAAGACACATAATTTGAGGCTGGGTACAGTGGTTCACGCCTACAATCCCAGCACTTTGGGAAGCCAAGGCAGGTGAATCACCTGAGGTCAGGAGTTCGAGACCAGCCCAGCCAACATGGTGAAACAACGTCTCCACTAAAAATACAAAAATTAGCTGGGCGTGGTGGTGCACACCTATAATCCCAGCTACTCGGGAGGCTGAGGCAGGAGAATTACTTGAACCCAGGAGTGAGGCAAGATGATGCCACTGTATTCCACTGCATTCCAGCCTAACAGAGCACAACTCCATCTCAAAACAAACAAAAAAAACATAATTTGAACTTACAAGAAAAATCAATTTCCAACACAATGGAAACTAAATTTTAGTTGCAGGGAAAGGGTTAATGACTGATATGATTCTCAGAGGTCTGACACAAAACCATTAGGGAACTCCTGTTTAGTTGGACTCATAGCCCTTGGGCTTGGACATCCTGCAGGTCAGAAAGCATTTGGAGCCTCACTACGAACTAATGTATTTCAGCCTTCTGTCCTGTGGCTGGCAAGGCACAACAAAAAGCCAGAGAACCTTTTGTCACCAGCACAGGTGTCCCTGATTCCAAAGGGCTGAGAGAGCTTCACTTCCTCTCTCAACCAGCTATAGCTAGACCCAGAAAGAGGCATCACTGGGGTGATATGACACAGAGAAGAGGCCACACCTGTGTGGGTATCCCAAGAACACCAGTCATCTTATCCAACCTTGACCGTGAGCCCTGCTTCCCCATGATGTGTCAGGACTCTGGAGATGTCTTGAGTGCTTGTATCAGCAGGATGAGACATGTACCTCTTACCTCTCAGAGGTCTCAAGGGACAGGCTGGCTTTTTCCTCCTTGTGGTCACTGCCACTGCCTGACCGGTGCAGGCTCCGGCGGGAGTGTTTGCGCCGAGGTTGCTCCCGTTCTGGTGTGTCATCCTGTTCCACAGTCTCGCTTTCCACATAAGGATAGGCCACTAAGTTGATGTAACCATCACTGTCCCCCTCAAAACAGACAGATACCACGCCTGTTAAAAAAAAAAAAAAAAGGGAACTGGTAAACAAATGTCAACACAGGCTGAGTCTATGCAGCACAGACTGTCGGCACTCACTTGCCCACACAGCAAGAAGACATCAGCTGCCCTCAACCAACTACAGATCAACGTCAGAACAATGGCCGGCAGACAGCAACTTCCAGAAAATAGATGACTGTCCATGCCCAAGCTAAATCTGATGCTTACTTTTGTTCCCGGATAAGTCTATGTTTATTTCCCCCTCTCTTATCTGGCCCTCTCCCTTTCGATTACTGCCTTTTTGTACCATTCAAAAGAACTGTGTTCTCTAGGTGACACCCACACCTGGCATGACTTAACCCTCTAGTTAACTTAAGTGCTTTATGCTGCCATTTACTGTGTGTGTCCTCCTTTAGATCTAGTTTCCTTCTGCCTGACAGTGTCAGCCAAAGGGACGTCAACACTTCTCCCTCCTAGAGGGTCCAAAAAAATCTGTGTTCTGCCCACACTGAGCACCAGGCTACCCTAGCCTCACTACACAGAACTTCCAGCCCTGGCGTCTCAAAGATAAAACATCTTTCTGTTTGCCATGCTGTATCTGTAATAGTTTTTTGTGCCCATTTTAATCAAACAGGTTGTTTGTAGTGTCTTCTGGACCATAGTGAGTTAAAACACAAGTAAGACTCTTCTCAAGTGTTCTTAATACAATTAAAAAATACATATATCCAGAAACTTGAGGAAGAGGTTTTGAAGGGAAAAAAAAGTAACTTGGTCTCACTTCCACATCCCACCTTTTGTCTGTCAGCTACATTTCTACTTTTACACTCCCAGATGTACACAGTTGGCTCTATAATCTGAAAATCAGTGAGAAGCATTTATGGTTTATTTTTTGTAGAGACAGTATCTCCCTATGTTTTGTCAACTTCTTTTACATTGTAGAACAATTATTGGCTTAAAGTTCTTTATAATATTATTATTCTTTTTTTAAGAGACAGGGTCCCATTGAAGTGCAGTGGTGCCATCATAGCTCACTACAACCTCAAACTCCTGAACTCAAGTGATCTTCCTGCCTCAGCCTCCCACGTAGCTGGGACTATAGGCACATGCCACCACACCTGGCTAATTTTTCAATTTTTTTATAGACATGGGGTCTCGCTTTGTTGCCCAGGTTGGTCTTGAACTACTGGCCTCATGCAATCCTCCTGCCTCAGCCCTTCAAAGTGTTGAGATTATAGGCATGAGCCACCATGCTGGCCCATAATATTCTTCTACCTTTTAAATATCTGTAGAATCTACAGTAATGATACCTCTATCATTCCTGACACTAGAAATTTGTGCCTTCTCTTTTTCCTCATCAGTCTGGCAAGAGCTTTATCAATACTACTGCTTTCCTCAAAGAATCAGTCTTTAGTTTTTACTGATTTTCTTTATTCTTGCCCATTTTTCTATTTATTATCTTGTGCCTCTACTTGACGTACAAGTTTTCATATTGATACCTATAAGCTACCTATATATTTTTTTTTTTTTTTGAGATGGAGTCTCGCTGTGTCACCCAGGCTGGAATGCAGTGGTGCAATCGTGGCTCACTGCAAAGCTCCGCCTCCCAGGGGACCAATGGCCACTTCTCCTAGGCCTCAGCCCCTCATTCCGAGTAGCGGGACAATACGGCCGACCCGAACACACAACGCCGCGCTACATTTTTTGTATTTTTAGTAGAGATGGGGTTTCACCGTGTTAGCCAGGATGGTCTTGATCTCCTGACCTCATGATCCACCCGCCTCAGCCTCCCAAAGTGTTGGGATTACAGGCGTGAGCCACTACACCTGGCCTTCATATATATATTCTTATATTATAGAAATGAAATCTTTGTCAGTACAGAAAAGCAAATATCTCTATCCATTTTCTTTAAAGGTATATCTTGATGAATATAAGCTTTTTATTTTACATATGTATCACTCTCTCTTTTTATAATTTGCTCTTTCCTTTTCGTCTTGCAGGGCCACATAATGCTGTACTAAAAACCTCTAATGTGTTTGTTAGACAAGCAAATAACACTGAGCACCCTAACATACCCCTGGCTGACACAGATCATCATACCTGGTCGGGGGAGAAATGGCAGTTGGATAGAGCAGAAGATGCCTTTACCAAGAGTAAGTAAGATTTGGTAATTAAATAAGTCATGCAATCTATTAGTAAAAAAATTTTTTTTTGGTCCTGACCTTTTTTGACCTTGTCACTCATACCTAGTTTGAATGAAGTTAGGAAAATGAAAAGCAATGGTCTTTTAATTCATCTGACATAAACCCTAATTTCCTTGGCATTTGTAAGACTGATTGAAATAGAGACAGGTTACATTTGGGTAGAAGTTTTATTATTGTTTTGAGTTATACTTTTTATTTACTTTTAAAATTGTGGGCAGGGCGTGATGGCTCACGCCTGTAATCCCAGCACTTTGAGAGGCCGAGGCGAGTGGATCACCTGAGGTCAGGAGTTCGACACCAGCCTGGCCGACATGTCAAAACCCTGTCTCTACTAAAAATACAACAATTATCCAGGCATGGCGGTGTGCGCCTGTAATCTCAGCTACTCAGGAGGCTGAGGCAGGAGAATAGCTTGAAGCCGGGAGGCAGAGGTTGCAGTGAGCCAAGATCACGCCACTGCACTCCAGCCTGGGCAACAGAGCAACACTCCATCTCAAAAAAAATAAAATAAAAATAAAATAAAATTGTGGTGTTTGGGCCAGGCACAGTGGCTCGCGCTATAATTCCAGCACTTTGGGAGGTCAAGGCAGGAGGACTGCTTGAGCACAGGAGCTCATTTGCCATTTAATTCTTTTTTTTTCTTTGGTAGAGACAAGATTTGCTATGCTGACCAGTCCCAGTCTGGTCTCAAACTCCTGGCCTCAAACAATCCTCTTGCCTTAGCTTCCCAAAGTGCTAGGATTACTGGTGTGAGCCACTATGCCCAGCCACTCAATCATTTTTAAATGTACAATTCAGTGGGCATTAAGTACACTGACAATATTGAATAACCACCACCATTATCTATTTCCAAAAAGTTTTTCATGACCTCAAACAAAAATGCTGTACCCATTAAGCAGTAACTCCCCATTTCCCCTTCCTCCTAGCCCTAGTAACCAAATCTACTTTCTATCTCTACAGATTTGCCTATTATGCATATTTCATATAAGTGAAATCATATAATTTTTGTTCTTTTGTGTCTGGCCTAGTTCACTTAGCATAGTGTTGGCAAGGTTCATCTGTGTCACAGCATGTATCAGAACTTCCATTCTTTTTTATGGCTGAATAGTATTCCATTGTAAGTATATATCACATCTGTTATGTGTTATCTATATTGATGGACACTTGGGTTGTTTTCACCTTTTAGCTATTATGAATGATGCTGCTGTGAACACTGGCTTACAACAATCCATTTGAATCCCTGTTTTTTTTCTTTTCTTTTTTTGAGACAGAATCTTGCTCTGTCACCCAGGCTGGAATGCAGTGGTGCGACCTTAGCTCACTGCAATCTCTGCCTCCCAAGGTGATTCTCCTGCCTCAGCCTCCTGAGGAGCTGGGATTACAGGCGCCTGCCACCACGCCCGGCTAATTTTTGTATTTTTTAGTAGAGATAGGGTTTTGCCATGTTGGCCAGGCTGGACTTGAACTCCTGACCTCAGGTGATCTGCCCCCCTCCCAAAGTACTAGGATTACAGGCGTGAGACACTGTGCCTGGCCACAGTCCCTGTTTTCAATTCTTTTGGATATATATGTAGAAGTGGAATTGCTAGATCATATGGTTTCTGTGTTCACCTTTGGGAGGAACTGCCAAACTGTTTTCCACAGTGGCTACAACACTTTACATTTTCATCAGCAATGTTCCCATTTCTCCACATCCTTGCCAACAGTTATTTCCCTTTTTTCTTTAAACTATTATAGCCATACTAGGTAAAATAAGATACCTAGTATGAAGTGGTATCTGATTTTGGTTTTGATTTGCATTTCTTTTTTTTTTTTTTTTTTTTGGGATGGAGCCTTTCTGCCGCCCAGGCTGGAGTGCAGTGGCCGGATCTCAGCTCACTGCAAGCTCCGCCTCCTGGGTTCACGCCATTCTCCGGCCTCAGCCTCCCGAGTAGCTGGGACTACAGGCGCCCGCCACCTCGCCCGGCTAGTTTTTTGTATTTTTAGTAGAGACGGGGTTTCACCGTTTCACCGTGTTTCACCAGGAGATCATCCGCCAGGATGGTCTCGATCTCCTGACCTCGTGATCCGCCCGTCTCGGCCTCCCAAAGTGCTGGGATTATAGGCTTGAGCCACCGCGCCCGGCCGATTTGCATTTCTTAATGACTAATCATGTTGATGTGCTACTGGCCATCTGTATGTCTTCTGTGGAAAAATCTCTATTCAAGTCCTTTGTGCAGTTTTGAAACTGTGTGATTTTTATTGCTTTCAAAACATAATCAGAAGAATACTAAATTTAGAAAAATAAATATTCTAAAGTTGCTAAATAAGAACAAAGCCAGAAATAAACACACTGCTTTCTCCAAGTGGCTAGGAAACTTTAACGGTCCCAAACACTTTATAAATGTAGATTCAGCCACCTATCCATCCACACTCAGAACACCAAAGGCCAAACATTCTGCCACAAATATGCCAAAGCCAGAAATAAAACTAGGCCCTGTCAGTTCATGGAGTCCTTCTGATGCTAAGGAAAAAATCCCTTAAAAGGTAAATGAGCCCTGTTTCCAGATAAATGTTCTCTAAATTACACCATCAGAATTGGGATATGACAAGTTAGAACTTCAAGGTGCCTCCCAGGGAAGGGGTGGCAGTCTCTAGCACTGGTTCAGTATTTCCTCACACCTTCCTCCTCTCAAACTGAGTAACAGGTATCTTTAAAGGCCATAACATGGGAGGATGCTTGAGGCCAGGAGTTTGAGGCTGCAGTGAGCCATGACTGCACCACTGTACTCCAGCCTGGGCGACACAGCAAGACCCTGCCTCAAAATAAAAATA